TTGTCCAACCATTTTTCTCCCGTTATCGCTTTATTTGGGATGAGATGTCCGTAGACAGGGATAACTATGACCCCCGTCTTTCTAAGGGTTCTTATCTGAAGGACCCGGCCTCTCGCTATATCCACCGTTTTTTTGGCCTATAGTTTCTCGGGTAGGCGAGATAGTTCGGGCATTCTATCTAAGCCCGAATTTTTCTTTATATGGTGCATGCATAACAAGATTAAGGTTAATCTGGGGTGCTGGCTCGCGTCTCAGTTCAAGTCCATTTTGCCTAAAAAGAAGCGCCCCTTGATTCTTGGGTCTTATATTACTCACTTGGCTATGAATTTGCATGTCCTTGATATTTCTAACCATAACTTGCATATAGCCTGTCAAATGGAGCCTTTGGATATCCCATGCTTAGAGAAAATGGGCTTAGTTCGGGAGGGCGACAATGGCTGGGAGGTAGTTCCACCGGGGCCGCTACGCCCTCCCCCTCGGTCATCTTTTGCCCGAGCTTCCACTGAGGGCGGCGACCCTGGCCCGTCTTCCTCCGCTCCGCCACCTACCGCCCCATCGGCCGACGATTGGACCCAACTCCGGAACACCGTTGATCGACTGGAGACTCGCGTAACTCACATTGGCATCAACTTGCATAACATGGCTCAAAACCTGGCTGCGTTTATGCAGCAGGCCGGCGTTCCACCTCAGTTCGCGCCTGATCCACCCCTGTTTTGACGATTACAGGGAAGTACCGTTGCCCCTCTCCTTACTTTTTGCTGTTACATTATCACATTGAGGGCAATGTGTGAATTAGGTGTGGGGGGGTCAGTTTGGGTGCTGAATTTTTTCGCTATTTTCCAGTTTAGGTGTTCTTGCTATGCTTTTAGTAAGTGTTTTCTGTGTAGGTGTTGTCCCTTTATTCCCTTTTTAGTGTCTTTCCCTTGCTTCTATCTTGATGAAGATTTTTGGCAGCTGACTTTTTCTTGTTAGTTGTGGCTTGTACTATGAGTTAAGTTACAGTGGCAAGTAAAAGCATGCTTTCTTGGTGAATACTTTGAGTTTAACGACGTGGTGCAATTTATGGCTAACTTGTTTAGGCAATATAAATATTTTGCTGGCACTGTTGTGTAGTTTGGTCTCCTGTTTACTTTAGTCTCCATATTTAGGACATGACGCAGGCTATGATCTATAATTATTTGGTATCTTGGTGTTTTATGGTGAATAACGTATGGCTATACTCCGCTAGTGTCGCCACCCAGTAACCGGGGGTGTTCACCACACATGTCGGCTCTCGCGTCAAAAAGTGACGATACCTATGAGTAAGTGGTCCTGGAGCTGTGAAAAGTTGAGTAACTGGGCTCTTTCATCTAAAAATGTCAGAGTTCACGTCAAAAGACTTGAATAGCTCGGGACTAAGCATTATTCGTGCAATGTAAAGAAAAAAAAAAGAAAAAAAAAAGAAAACAAAAAGAGAAAACAAAAAGGAAAAAATCAGATGTGGCAAATATGTGAGTTTATGATCATGTTAGCCTGCCGATCCTTGGTTCGTATGGTTGAGATTTTGGGTGCCAGTTGACTTAATTATTGACTGTTGCTAGTTTGTATTTGGATTCCCTAAGCGAATTAGCCATGAATTGGGCAGGTCTATGAACTTAGGAGCTAACCGGGAGAGACATGTCATGACACTTAGTCACTAGATCTTGATTTTGGGTATAAGCACAGCTGGCACTGAAAGTGTGAAAGCTAGCCTGTGTTGAGTTGAATTGTCCCCATGCTTGAGGGCAAGCATGATTTAGGTGTGGGGGGAATTGATAGGGTATAATTTGTTAGTAATTTTATTATTAATTTCCCCTTCTATTCCGGACAAATATTGTGTTAATTGCTGATATTTACTCATATTTGGTATCTGGATCCAATTCCAGGAGTGGAGCAGATAACTACAACAAGAGGGACTTCTGGATGCAAATTTGGGAGACTCCAGCAGAAAGCCTCAATTGGCGGGGACCACAAGAGCTACAAGAGCTAGTAAAGGCAACGTACAAAGCCTTAGGAACAAGAAGTAATTCAGCAGGCTTGTGGCTAATTGGTGGGGACCGCGCAGAGGCTCAAAACAAGGAGATGAATTCGGCAGCTTGTGGCCAACTGGTGGGGACCACTGGATATCTTTCTTTTGGTTTTAAATAGGGAACAAACGTACAGAAGACGGCTGGCTTTTATTTTGGACCTCTAGTTTTAGTCTTTTGTTTTAGTTTTAGTTCTTCTTTCCTCCTGACTGGCCTCTGACACACGTCAGGTGTTCGACAATATTCCCCAACGGGAAAAACATCTTTTATTCCTTGCTTCTTAATAGAAAACGCAATGCCTTTGCAATCTATTAATGCATGTGGTGATTTAATTATGCGGCGTGGCTAAGTCTTCCGTCTAGTCAAGGGTCAACTCGACGGCGCAGTCCCGGAAATCTGTGAGATCTAATTAGTTTTCACGTGTTCCTTTATTTATTAATATTTGCACGTTGTCTACTTGAATTTTCATGGGATTATTTTATTAATTGGATGTCAAGGGCCCGATGTTCAATGTGATTTATTAATCTCGTGCCAATTTAGTTAATTAAATCCGTAATTGTTTGATTGATTAATATTAGTGGCAACTGGTGTGTTTACACATTAGGGGAACGTGCGATCTAATTTAAATAACCCTCGTAGCGCGTTATTGGTTAGGGCTAGGTTTTTCTAATACTAATGCAATTGGGAAATTAATTCCTACGGTCGTACCTAGGAGTATTTTCTGGTTAGGGGTGATCAATGGTCGTACCTTGGTTATCAATAATTTAAGGAAAAATTGGTCGTCAGACTATAACTAGCCTATTAATAAATTAAGTGAACCTCTCCTGCATCAATGATCGGATAAATGGATTGTGCCTGAGTAGTTGCATCCTTGGCTAGAATTTATTCATTCTTGATTTAACTCCTGCTTTAGTTGTGCTAGTTAGTTATTTATTTATTTTTGTTGAATTATTCAATTGATTTTAGTTTCATTCTGGTGAAATCCCCCTTACCAATTGGCATTTGAAAAGAAACAAATATCCCCAGTCCCTGAGGAGACGACCCTACTTGCCACTGTCTACTATTCAGTAATCTTTGTCACCTAATTAATTCTGGTATATCGGGTTAAGCAAACTCTTCGGGAACAGGGTGAATCAAGTAACCCATTGCACACCTAGAGTCCCTGCTCCAGTACCTAGGATTAATTATCGACTGCTTTTAGTGGTAGTTAGGATTTTATTATTATTATTGCACAGGTTCGGCACCTGTCATGTAGCAACTGTGGCATCACGAAATTGGGTAGAGAATGCTATTATAACATTTTGTAACATTCCAAATAGACCATTCGATCGTTAGGCAGAAAAAAAAAAATCTTCTAAATATTCTTTTTACACATTTTTCAATCACCTTTTAACCTTACATTTATCACATCCTACTAGCGTAATTTTTTCCGAAAACATCCCCTAATATATGCAATCCAAGTGGGCTTTTTTTTTTTATATTATTATGTTAGTAAGACACCATTTCAAAATAGTTTACAGAGTCCAACCATCTTAATCTTTGCATTTTTGAGCAGCATCAAGGAAGCTGATTTAATTAATCAGCCAATAAATAAGTTCCCAAAGTACAAAAGACACCAGATACAGAAAAAGATCAACAGTACTTAGCTATCAAGTGAAAAGGTTGTATCCCCTCTTGGCTGTTGTTAAACGGCAAAGTTGCCTTGCGAGATCGCATAAAATGAAACTTCGTTCTACTTAGGATGTATCACCTCTTGGCTGTTGTTAAACAGCAAAGTTGCCTTGCTAGATCACATAAACTAAAACTTCGTTCTACTAACTGATGCAGCCGTTAGACAAGAACGTTAGAACCCATGTCCAAACAATCACCAACTTTGGCATTTGTTGCTTTTTTTTTTGTTTTAAATTAATATTTGTTTACCACTTTTCTGTAATGTAGCCAAAGTTAAAAAAAAAAAAAGAGAAAATTGTCAAATTATCAAATCCTGGAATTAGAACACAAGTACTGTCCCATGGAAGATGTAATTGTATGCTAATACACGGACCCAATTTAAGAAAATTAGCTAAGAAGCTAAAAAATGAAACAAGGCAGCCTAAAACCTAGGATTAACTAACTCTGACAGTGCAAGAGTCTTCTTTACATGGGTGGATCTAGATGCATGACATGACATGACATGAATAGAATGAAAATTTTAAGTTTGAATAGATACTATGTGTGATGCATCTTAAATTGTTCGTATATGGAATCTTTATACTTTTAGCCTAGCAAAAACAGATGCAGGACTACATAAAATGAGTTGGGCAGTGTATTTAATTGTCAAAAAGCAACATCCAATTGCAGTAATTGGGGGTTAGAATTTATATAAAATTTCATTGCCAGGCACGCGACTTTTTCTAGTAGAAATTTAGAAAAATCGGTCAAGTGCACCAAATGTGTTTAAATATTGTAATATTGTGTACTTGATCTATTTTCGTCTAAGTTCGAGTACTTGAATCACTTAAGGATCAAAATTTAGGCACCAAACTTTACTCTTCCAAGAATTAAGGAATGACATTGGTTCTTCATTTTCACCAAGCTTGTCCCCTTTTATGGAATTTACTCGGTTTTAGTTTAATACGAGCTGATTAATTATTGAATATGTAGCCAAAATTGAAAAAGAAAAAAGAAAAGCAGTGAAATTGCCAAATCCTTAATCTTGATTCCTGTATAGAATCTTTGCCACCATCATTATAGCGTTATGACTGTTCCCTGGCAAATGTAGAAGTATAATGAAACACGAAATGAACTTCGAGAACGTATACATCATTATTTAACTACAAATTGTATAAAGATAGCAGAGAAGCCATAAACAGAACTAGTTTCTTATTTAATTTTTCATAAGCTACCAAAATCAGACATTTAAAACCAAAAAAAAAAAAGCAAGAGTGAATAAGAGAGCAAAAGTGAGTATATAAATCGGACATTGCTTCACAAATTTATGTTCTAGGGAACATATATAAGGCACGGAATAACACATTCCTTCATATGTAATTGTCCATAAGTAACAGAAACGGAAATCACTTGGAAAATATTACAATCCATAGAACCAGTCAAGTTAAAACATTAATGCGAGACATCCCCACCAACGTGTAGCCATCAAGTGCTCAGTAATAAATTGAGTTCACCCTGCAATACAGAATTGGAAAGAATAGAAGGATTAATAACTTGAATAGCAAATTTGCTAATATTAAATAGGATTAATTTTTTCTACAGTGACAATGTATATACTATTAGCATTGAATGAATGATAACTGTGCAATGGTTGAATTTGAAATTCAATTTTTACACATTTATATCATGGATCCAACAGTGATAGTATATACACTATCAGTATATATAAGATTTACTCTACTGAATATTCCTCCTGTTACATCTTTTAATACTTTGCTTGATGAGTGGCTAATCAATATATAGGAAAACTTTTTGGCTGCCAAGAAGAATTTTCAATTTCGACATTGTTGATTTAATCATTTTACATGTATTGGGATCCACGAACATTGTGTATATCGATCAAGGCAATGTTACGTATGAGTCCAAGGGAGGATCTTAGCCAAGAAATCAGAGATGCACAAATATTCAATACATGGCATGTGCGGTCATTTTAGGAATCCAATAATTTTATGTGATGGACAATTAATTGATATTGTCGGCCAAATTAGATGCTCCAATTAATCAAAGACTAATCCGCTTCTTAGGCCACGAAACAATGTCTAGAACAGTAAAAAAAAACTTTATAATGATCTGCTAATGATTATGTGGGAAGTCATGAATCCACTCCAGTTTTAATCCATTTACTCCATTCCAATGTTTTCAGTATTAAAATGATTACAGAGCAAACTATAGCGGATAACCTCTTTTAGAACTCAAATTTTGCACAGAATAGGAATCTTAGTCATCTCAATCATAGAAATATAAATCAATAGTGAATAGAAATAAATGCATGGGAAAGGATTTATCACTTTACTAGTCATACGTATAAGAGATAGAAGATTACTTTGAGCAGTCCATATTACGAGTAATGTTGACCGGAAGTTTAACACCACATAGTCCAGGAATAGCAGCAGCATTCTTGATTTGACCATCAGTTGCATTTGACAAAAAAGACTTCAGACAAGAACAGACACTTTGACGATCAGTTTTGGTCTTAGCTGAGTTGATGAGAGCCTTAATACCACCGCAGCAAGCAGGATCAACTGTTCCCCCATTCATAATATAGCTCAGGCATGGATAGAGATCATTGGACACTGTACTACAAGGGATTTGTGCTTGCCCTCCAGAGGAGAAACTCATGATCAACATGGCCATGAAAACTACTAGTGTTACTTGTTTGTTGATTGCTGATGAATTAGCCATAGTTGTGATGGGATTGCAAATTTTGAGAATAGGAACTGTTTGATCTTTTTGGGACTTTGGAGGGTTTTCACTTGAGTTTTGTTAAATGGTCTATAGCAATTTTGCTAGCTTTTTATAGAGGTGAAGAGGGCAAGGAATGAGATGAGAGGGGATAGATCTTGCTATGTAGATGCTAACTTTGGGGCTAGTTTAATTTCTCTGGATAGTGATCAAAGGTTTGAACAATTAATTGGACAATTTGGTAACCATCATTAGGAATATGGGAATTGAATCATGTTCTACTCAATATTTAGGACAAAATACTGGAATATTAAAGACAGAAAACTTACAAATATATAGCAGCAGAAGTTGCCTGATTGGATGAGAATGGACTTTAATCAGCTAAAAGTTCCAGCACCTGTTCGTAAACGGCCAATACGACTTGCCTGATTGGATTGAAATGCTAAAAAATGTCCTCAAATTCAACCTTACACTGCCGTTTTGATTGAAATAGTGGTGCAGGAAATCTAGTTTAAACAGCTATCGTACTTGGGCCTGTTGGCGCATCTATTTTTGTTTGTCAATTTTAATTTTTATACCATATGATCTATTAGGCCCAGGAATTAAAGGTTTCGAATTCGAGTCTAACTAAACGTGAATTCAATTTTAGTGTATGTTAGGTACTTATTTCATTATGATTTAATTGTGATGTTGCTTCTGATATTACTGGATTAATTATATTAATTCTACCTTTCTAGACTAATTTTCATTTATTAATAATAAGAAAGGTCCCAATTCGCAAGCATAACCCTTATCACTAACACATGATTTATCGTGACAACTGATCCTTGGATGATGTAATAGTTACCAATAATGCATCAAATGAGTTTTACAATAATTTACCTTTCATCCTGCATAAGTCTTAAAATATTAGTACTATATTTGAAGCTTAGTTTGTTTTTCCATTTTTACTAGGAACAAAGCCACAACTTTTTGAATTTTAATTTTCCAGCCACATATTATTTCATTTTTAATTTACATCGCGATTGACAACTGCTAACTTTAGTTTCTCCGAAGGGGTTTATACAACCAAAATTATTTACATATTTTGCCAATCAAATCTGTTGAAGTAATACTTCTTCTTATAGTTTTTACTTGATTCTTAAACACTATGAGTAATTTATACAATTCTGGAAAATTTAAAGTGTCTTGGAAAAGGTAAGGAACAAAATGCATAATCCTTGGATGTGAATAGACTTGAATTTCCTTTCAAGAAGTACGTTTCAAGTAAATATCAAAGAGTAGATAAAACGAAGCACATATGACATTGTTTAGATTATCATGAAATCAAAAAATTAAAAATTAAAAAAAGTTAAACATTTTTGGCCAACTTTATTGTTTATTGCATGTATTGTGATTTCGTCCTCGCAGTGATGTCTATGAGATATTCCCTTGTCTTGATTTATATTCGAGAATATCCATTGCAACGGATTTATACATGCATGCATGCACACACACACATATACGCTCGTAAGCCGATTCAGTCAAAACTCAACTTGAGTTCGGTCAACATTCGAACTCGAGTTCAGAAAAAATTTTTATACATGCATACTTACATATACATATACATATATATATACACACACACATAGACACATATATACATATGTATATATAAAATTTTTATTTTGATAGTAAAATTACATAAATATCCCTAATATTTTATTATTTGTTAACAAAAAATTACTATTTTATTTATTTTTAAAATTACATAAAAAAAGGGTTAATCGCACTTTATCCCCTTTAAGTATGGGTCATTTCTCACTTTACCTCCCAACGTTTGTTTTTTTTCAGTTTATCCCAAATACTAACAGTCAACTCTAACGGAGATTAACAGAATAATGAAAAGACAGTAATACCCTTAAGAAAATAATGAACAACCCAAAATACCCATATGTCAAAGGTTTATGAAACGGATAAAAACAAATTTCCAAAATTGCCCTGGAACAATGGAGGAGGAAATTTCCCTCCATCGGGCACATGGGACAAGAAAAGGGAAACCAGAAGACAAAAGGTTTCCTTCCTTTTTGTCATTGTCGGTCAAGTCTCTCTCCCCTCTATCAGCCTCTTTCTTCTTCTGTATTCCTAGCAAAACCTCCAAAACCTCCATTAAAGAACATGAAACGACACCAGAAATAGAAACGGCACCTGCTTGGCGGGTCGGACCCAGGTGCAATTGACCCATCGGTGGTGAAATCTCAATTGGGAAGGAGGAAAGTGAAGTTCGTTGGGTGGATTGTGAAAGGTGACGACGAACCTCAGAAGAGAGGGGGACTGGGGCTGCTTGTGGTGGTAGTGGCGGTCGGCGTCGTGGTGCTGAAGAAGAAGAGCAGTGACGACACCAGTCCACCAGCCGTCCCTATAGTAGGAAGGCGACGACGTCGCCTAGGTCGAAATAGGGTTCAGAAGAAAGAGGGTCAGGAGGAGGCACAGGGTTGAGGAATTCGGCATTGATGTACTCGCGGAGAGGGACATTGGAGCCCTCCTCGGCGACGAGGGTGTGGTACTGGACGTAGGCCTTACTATTGGAGTGGAATTTGAATTTGCGCTTCTTAGCAGAAGAAGCAGAGGAGGAAAAAGAAGAAGCATATAATTTTTTGAATTTTATGTTGGTGAGAAAGCTTCTTGCACGTTTACTGGCTGATGCTTAGGTTAGTTTGAAACATCTGTGATTTCCTAATGGATAATTTCCTCCTCTGTAACTTTTTTGCTCATATTCTGCTTTGCTCTGTTGGATTAGTACTCGTGGGTCTGTTAGAATAATCCAAACTGTTTCTGAAGGCTTTGAACTGTCATGTTAGCCTGAGGATTAGTTAAAGTTCACAGTATGTCAGATAGCTAATTCACTCTGCTGTTCTTTGAAATCAAACTTTTTATGTTTATTCAAAAAGTGATAGTCTGAATCTTTGGAAGAAAAAAATCTCTTTTAAAGAGGAAAAAGTGCTAAGCAACTTTTTAAGTGTTCAACTGATGAAATTGAAAAAGTGAGGGTAACTAGGTGCTGGAGGAAGGAAATACTTAAGAGACTATATGAAAGTGACAATTCAACAGAAATATTATCAATTAGAAAACCATGCCCCACCTTGAACTGCTCATGAAAAATGCACACATCCAACTCAAAATCAATTTGCAATAACTACGGAGCCCTATTAACTACCCAATGGCAATTTCGGCATCTTGAAGTTTTTAACGTGCAATTGCTGACGGAGGGAGTAAACTGAGAAAAAATAAACATTGTGGGGTAAAGTGAGAAATGACCTATACTTAAAGGGGATAAAGTGCGATTAACCCTAAAAAAAATTATTGTTATTTTTTTAGGCTCGAACTCGGCTTGAATTTGAGGACGAGTCTCGATTCATTTGCAACTCTGCTTCTAACCATTATGGATCTAACAATTGCTGTGTCTTAGCTAGCTAATGAGGTGGGAAACTCCAATGTTATTAAATGTTACAATAGAGTTTCATTTTTTTTTTTTTTGTGAAATACAATTAGAATGATGACCATGTAAGGGTATTTGGTCCTTTTAATCTTTTGGTACAACTTAAGAGACACAAAAATAATTGAGTTATTGTGTGCATGATCCACATCCAGTTTATGTCAGTCCTTCAAAGTTTGTGCCTTCCCATACTCCAAATTCTGCACCACAAATGTTAATGTCCAATTACTGTTTTCTTTCAAAAGAAATCACTACTTAGAATGTGTAAAAAGGGCAAATTGCTAACATAGTTTATGGAAAATTTATGCTACACCATTCTTGTATATCAAGCATATTGACATGTATCTTTGCTTCATTTACTACCCAAAATAATGCTAAAATACTGGTGGAAACAAAAAATTGTGCACAAATCACAAAGTTGTTTGTCTGCAAGGAAAGTTGTTAAAATAATAAATCATGATAAAAGATTCTTTTTTTGGGCAAACAATTAGACATGTGAATTCCATCTAAGTTCTGTTGAGTAGGATCAACCAATAACATAACACCTATTGATATTACCCTGCAGAAAAACACTGAAAAAACACCTCAGTACAGAATCTCAATTTCTTTCAAGCAATCCAGTATCAGAATCATAGATGAATGCCTCATCTTTCATTTTCACCTTCCAAGGCTTTGGATTCATGTTTGAATATGCTCCAAAGCGGCCACATCCCCTTGCATGTAATTTTACTGAACGTCGTAGCAGATCAATTGAATACCTTAAACTGTCCATGGCTCCACCAGAATTGTACATGTCAAGCAATCCAATTGGAGCAAAATGAATCTTTCCATCAATGACCTGTTCCAAATTCGAATTACCATCTTGAGATTTTAGTAAGTAGTGCAGAAAAGCTACTGAAATTAGCCAAATGCAGGCTCAAAACTTTCATTGGCAGACATAACATGCTTGCCTGAATAGGACAGATGGTGTAGATTTCATACTTTAGGACACCAAGAGGTATCTTGAGGTTTTCTTTCTTCGACAATGTGTGAAGAACTCCTGAAGATAGGATATGACATGGTCATATATGTGAAGTTTTAGATTAAAAATCTAGAATTGGGGGGCTGAAAGCTAAATTATGGGGCCTCAAAGCTAACCAGAACTGAATGTAGATACAGTACAGATTCCATTCCAGTTTTCACCAGCTACATCTGCTAGTAATTCAACATCTTCTAGAAATATATTGATCTGTTTTAAAGATGCTATAGATATCTTACTTGGAACATATCCCAGTCCACAGCTACAATTTCCCCTTCAAACAGCCTATTAAAAGCAACAGCTGCAATCTGTGCCTTCTTGCCATCAACATGACTAAAAGTTCCTTTGTGCTCGGACAATATTCTACACCAATAACAAGGGCTCAATTAGGCCTAAAGTAATGAGAATGGAAGTTCTGAAGCAGAATTCATTACCATAGCAAATGGAAATGCACTAGAATGATACTAAATTGGCTGATGAAGAAGCAAAGACTCTTAACTGAACCAC